AAGTCCAGGCTGCTAACAATTCACATCCCGCGGCTGACTCCTCTATCTCCCCAACATCTCTCTTAGGCAGATCCTTCTCTTCCATGTAAGCAACTATGACTTAACATTGAAGGTCTATTTCCACCTTAGGTTGCATTATGAGAGGTTTAGCACCCTGAAGGGTGTGGTGGTGCACACCTGTAATCCCAGCGCTTCAAAGACTGAGGCAGAAAAATCACTGCAAGTTTAATGCCAGCCTGGGCTACATAGTTCAAAACCAGCCTGAACTACATAGTGAGACGTTGTCTCAAAAACCAAAGGGAGGCTGGGGATTTAGCTCAGTGGCACTGCATCTGCCTCATAAGCGCAAGGTCCTGAGTTTGATCCCCAATACTGAAAAAAACAAAGGGGGAGGGAGGAGAGGAGAAAAGTGGGGGGGGGTCTAGAAGGAAAAGAGAAAATAATTAAGAGGAGCCAGGTTTTTGTTTGGGAGATGATACTGGCTTCACCACGTATTCTCCGTGTCTGCTGGAACATCTTTAACTCCTCTGTGCTGCAACTTTTTCATTGGTAAAATGGGGCCATTTATAATTCTCACATCATAAGGCTGTCGTGAAGATTAAACGACTATATAAATACAGTGCCTAATGCATAGTAAAATTCAATAAATGGTAGCAATCTCCATTTTTATTTTTCCACACTGATCAGATGGAACCTGCTGTTGTGTGGTCAGACATAGCAGCAATCATTTAAAGGGAATAAAGACCACGGCTTCATCAGCCCAGATGACATGCAAGAAGCAAAGGGGCCGGGAGAAGAAAAGCCGGGGAGGGACTGTGTGGCTGTCTTCTGTACCTCAACAGCTGGCTCACAGAGGCACCTAGCTTTCTTCTATGTGGCCTCAGAGGCTAGAGTCTTTGTACACACAGCCTGAGGCCTTGTCCACTAGGCTCCTTGGGAGGAGTTCTGGATGATCCATCACCCTGTCCTGGCCTTTATCACAGGCAAGAAAGAAACATGCAGTGCTCTGAGTGATCATGAAAGTGAGAATCATTAAATTCCCTTAATTCAATGCTGTTGTCCCCCAAACAGGGTTGGAGGCAACCTTTTATTATGATTTATTTATTTGCTAGGACAGGGAATACTTTATTCAAAACCCAGCAGAGAAATGGACAGTTTGGGTCTGTGACAAAGCATTTATGTTATAAATAAGGTCAGTAATCGTATATTAGAGCATACACTGCTACACATGAATTAACTGATCAGACCACAACTTTTCAATGTTTAAAACAGAATAAGCTTCACTGTAAAAGCAGCACCTCTGTGACATTTTCGGTTTCCCTCTCCTTCCTCAACTCTCCTTCAACAGAAAACACACCAACCTCCTCATGATCCTTCTCTAAGGCAGCCATGTCCCCAAAACTCCCCTTCCTCCATCCCCTCACCCACGAACTCGTGCACAAAGGCACTCTTGGCGTACCTCACATTGAACTTGTGGTCCAGGCGAGCCCATGCCAGCAACGGCTGTGGGGTTGGCTCAGCGTGCACACAGCCCACTGCAGCTTGGCCAGGTCTCTACCAGGCACCACAGTGGGAGGCTGGGGATTAATGCCAGCCTTGAAGCCAGTGGGACACCAGTCCACAACCTGGATGGTCTGCTTGGTCTTGAGGGTGGCAACGGCAGCAATGACATCTTTGGGGACCACGTCACCATGGTACAACAGGCAGCAAGCCGTGTATTTACCATGGCGAGGGTCACCTTTCACCATCTGGTTGACTGGCTCAGAACAGGCACTGGTGAGCTCTGCTACAGGAAGCTGCTCATGGTGGGCTTTCTCAGCAGAGATGACAGGGGCATAAGGGGCCAGAGGGAAGTGGAGGCGGGAGGCGGGCACAGGGTACCAGGTTGGTCTGGAATTCTGTCAGATCAACAACATCCAGGGCTCCGTCAGGAGCATCAGCCAGCATTAATACATGTCAGGACTACATACTTTATTGAAATTATTTCCTTTAACCCTCAGGACAGGTCTGTGAGGTAAATTCAACTATTTTTCCAAATTGTTTTTTCCAGGGCAAAGGAAGCTCAGAGCTCTCAATGTATTCCCCAAGGTCACGCAACAATTAAGTTGCGTGTCATGCTTTGAGCCCGGAGCTCTTGCATTTAATCACTGCACAGTGCTTCCTGAGAGTCCTTCAGGGTTTGAGTCTGAGAAACCTCCCCATGCAGGGATGGAAGACATGATTTGACCTATCAACCCATTCAGGTTGGTGTAGGTTGGGTGCTCGATAGCGAGGTTTCTACCACAGATGTCCTAGATGGCCTCGTTGTCTACCCTGAAGGCACAACCAGAGAGCTGCAGGGTGGCATGGGTGCTGAGGATGGAGTTCTAGGGCTCAGCCATAGCTGTGGAAACCGGGCAGGGGGATGGCTGGGCAGATGGAGAATTCCAGCTTGGACAACAGAGAGACGTTCTATCAGCAGGGAGGTAAGCCCACAGCCAATGCCCCCATCAAAGCTGCAAGAAACCAAGACACCCTGTAGACCCGTGCACTGGTCAGCCAGTTTCGGAATTTGGTCCAAGACGAGGTCAGTGATCTCCTTGCCAATGGTGCAGTGCCCACGGGCAAAGTAACTGACAGCATCTTCCTTGCCTGTGATGAGCTGCTCAGGGTGTAAGAGCTGCGGTGTGCTAACTGCTCACTTCATCCATGGCTGTGGGCTCCAAGCCTACAAACACTGCCCTGGGCAGTGTCTGCCAGCACCAGTCTCTCTGAAGAAGATGCTGAAGGAGTCACCTCCTCCCCCAGTGGTCTTGTCGCCTGGCATCTGGCCTTCGGGCTGGATGCCATGTTCCAGGCAGTAGAGCTCCCAGCAGGCATTGCCAATCTGGACGCCAGCCTGGCCAGCGTGGATGGAGACGCACTCATGCATGGAGAGGTTGCTGCTTCTTACAGAGCGACTCTTAGGTGGTCGATGGAAGAGAACCTGCCCGGAAGCCATCTTTGAAGCCTTCCCATGGGTTCCACAGTACTGACCGTAGGGAGACCTGGGAGTGTGGTGCTTCAGCTACTTCGGGAGCATTCGTTCATTCATTGTTTAAGTTTATTGGTACATGTTAGGTGTACAGTACAGTCACATCCACCATTGGGATCTTGTACTTTCACATGACAGGTCTTGGTTCTCATTTTCCCAGAGGACACTGGGAATGCCCAGCCCACCCTGTTTACAGAGACTTTCTTTCCATGTTTTTCCTTTCACATATTTTTCCTTTCCCCTTTTAACCTTTCCCCTACCCCTCCCGCTTCCTCTACTCTTTTAGATCTTTTCTTCCTATTACACAGTATCAATTATACATCTTGATCCTCATTGACACTCTTAGTTCGTCACACCAGAGAAACTATTCGGTATTTACACGTGCGACTTATTAATTTCACTTAAGAGTATGGCCTCAACGTGCATCCACTTTGCTATAAATGTCTCCAGTTTCTCATTCTTTATGGCTGAGCAGTACTCCATTTTATTAAAAAAAAACACATCTTCTTTATCCAGTCTCCAACTGATGGGCATTTGGGCTGTTTCCAAGTTCTAGCTATTACCAACTGTGCCACTATAAACATGGGTGTGCACATGTCACTGTGGTATGATTCTTTTAATTCTTTTGGGAAGATACCCAGCAGAGGGACGGATGGCTGGGTCAAATGGAACTTGCAATTCTAGTCGTTTGCAAGTGCACTTAATGGAGCAGAAGCTCCCTGGGGGCTGCTCCGCACGAAGCCTGATGGAGGTACTGGCTTTAACTCTGTGCCAAGTAACAGGACCGTGACCCGTTTGTTTAGTGAATTCACTCTGGGGACAAGACCTACTCTGAACGGCCAAGTCCTGGTCACCAAGTGCCACGATCATTCCATCTCTCCCACCCCGAGAAGACAGTGTCTGCCCGCTTCCCAGGCCCATCCTGAAAATGGTGTCCAGCCCACACCTCCGTGCCAAGGGGCATCACACATATGCAGAGCCATACGTCACCTCCAGCAGGTAGCTCTCAGCACTGGACTAGGGCAGCAGCCCCAACCCCACAGGGCTCACCAGACCCAACCCTGATATGACTTCATCCAAGATCTGCTGTAAGCAAAGTTATACAAAGCAGAGCACGGCTGGGAGGAAGCGCAGATCTCGTACCCTACCAACGAGTCTCCTGTCGTGGCCACGGCTTTGGCTGCTTTGGCTGGTAGCTTCTCAATGCTGGGCAGATAGGGAGGGCCCACTCAGGGACTTTGGAAAAAAGGACCAAAACTAAGTGGTTCTAACCCAGCAGGAACAGCAAGAGAGGGCAAGAGCCCCCCGGGAGGCCAACATGGACCCAACATGGTCCTCTCCAAGCTCGAATGGCCTTCAAGTCAGTATGGGGTAACGGACAGGAACCCCCCAGCCCCCACAAGACAGCTACATAATGAGGCTTGGAACCCAGTGGATCAGCCTAGCCATGTCACAGTCAGGTCACCATTCTGCCCCAACCAAAATAGGCAGAAACCTGGGCTTCAACACCAGCCAACGCTTCTGAAAACCATGTAAGTCTGTGACATTAACCAACTGCCACCTGGCTGAGCGTCCAGGTGAGAGATGAGCCAGAGGGAAGGGTTTGTCTCCAGTTGGCCTCAGGGCCCACCAGTCTCATAAGCAGCCCCTGTATGGGCTCCTACAAAACTCAGCCATTGGACTAATGAAGCTGAGGACCAGGTCTAGTCCACCGTGGCTTCCTGGATCTGCATCCAGCTGGTATCTCCAGTTCATGTCCACCCTCAAAGACCACATCTGGAGGTGTTCCACCACAAGCAAGGTCGTACAGACAACCCCACAAGTCTACCTGCAACACGCACAGCCCCACAGACACCAGAACCACCCCCCATACCCACCATAGGTACCATCTCGAAGTACTGCAGGGCCCACCCTGCGTCACCCGGCTCGGCCCAGCAGTCAGCACACACATGCCACAGCCCCCGCCCATGTGACGCCCCAGACTCACCGCTCGAGCAGTCAGGGCCTCCCCAGCCAGGCTCGCAGTGGCAGGTGTCGGGGGACACACAGCGGCCGTGCACACACTCCTCCGTACACAGGGCTGTGGGAGAGGCAGGAGAGAACGGTGAAGCCAGCCAGCCAGCAAGGAGCATAACCCGCTGTGTCACAATGCCCTGGTGCTGGAGACGCGGGATGCATCACCGTGGGGGTGGGGTGGGGGATATCAAGCTCAAGGCCACAGTGTTTAATTAACTCTGAAACAGATCCAAGGAGAGTTTGTCGTGTCCCAGCCTCACTTCCTAAAGGGAAACCCAATCCCCAGAAATGACAAAGCTTGGTGGCTTTTAAAGAACTTTCCCCCAGGGCTTAACTTCCGGAGACCCCTGGCAGGCCAGCCCCTCATCCCCAGTCCCTCCTCTTGCCCACCCTGCACAGGAAGTCACCTGTCCCTCCATTTGCATTTTTTCTTGTCCCAGTCGCTTCCTTTTAAGGCCCAGAAATGTCCCAGGCTTCTGAGAACAGCAGGGATCTTGCCTCCACCTTTCTGCCCCCCTCCCCAAATGTCCCTATTTTGGGGCTTTCAAATGTCAGCAATTCTGCAAAGTATACAAATGCTGAGGAAAAGGCAACAGCTAATTATAAGAAAGTAATTAAGAGAGACATCCACGATGATGCTAATTGTAATTAGAACGCGCCTGGCAATTTCTTATCACGGAGTCAAATGCTACAGCCTCCCAGCCAGGAGGCTCCAAAGTGAGCAAACTTTCCCAGCGCCTCCCCGAGGAGGTTTATTGACAGCAGTGTGAGGGAGGGAGATTATTTTGCTCATCTTTTGACAGAATTCATGTTTTTTCCTCAAGGTCATGCTTTGCTCCTGAGAGCTCTGCCCATCTCAGCCACTGGGGAGGATTAGAGACCCTCTGCCGCTCCACCCATGTTGAAAACTGCAGAAATCAGCAGCTGTCATCCGCCCATCCAGGTCCCAGGGGATGCAGATGAGGGTTTTGGCCAGAAAGCACCCAGAGACCTTCTCCTGCCATTCTGGCCTGGGCCGGGGGTGGGGGGAGGCCCCATGGTGGGTTCTGAGGGGCAGTCTGGTCTGAATGCCCACTAGGAGGCACAGTAAGATTAGACAAGGCCCTCTCCATGGTGGCCGGATCCCTCCTAAACATTGATGCTCTCTGCAGCCATTGCCTTAGCTCTGTCCAGGTGCACAGCAAGGCAGACCCAGCGGCTCCACGTTAGGCGGCCCAGGCCACCTGCAGTCCGGGTCAGCCTGGCACCTGGGTCCTCACCTGCACAGTAGCTTTCAGGAGGGCTGTGGTTTGGGCTGAGGACCCGTCCAGATTGCTTGGAGTCCTGGGGAGCGAATGCCCCAGCTCCCCTCGGGAACCAGGCGAGACCAGCTGCATTACAGCCATGGCTCAGTGGGCCCCAGCACTGCCTCACTCTCCAAATAAGTTCAAATGGGTCGCTGTCTCCTGCACACACTGGACACCAGGCATCCACCCCCTGGCTCACGACTGATGCCTGCTGTGACCTGGCTGGCTCCCAGCCCTGGCCTCAGCCAATGGCCCTGCCCTGTCTCCCATCCCCCCCCCCCACAAGCTGCTGCAGTCCCTGCTCCTCCACAGCTGGACTTGTTTGTGTGACAGCCTGTCAGGTTAGCTCTGGGCTGCTTCCGGCTGCTGTCGGACTGCAGGGATCTCTGCCACCTCAGAGGGGGTGAGCGCACCAGGGATGGAAGAGACCTCAGAACGGAGAAGCTGAGGCCATGTATCTGTGACATCAGGGACAGTGTGTGCCTCTCGGCCAAGGACAAAGGCACTCAGGGAAGAAGCTCCTGGGGACAGAGGCTTCTGAGGGTGGCGGGAGGTGAGGGGGCCAACAGCACGTGGCCTTTGCGTGTCCAGCCTGTGTGGCCCCCCACCCCTGTGGCTCAGGGGGCATCCGTGCAGAGGGATCAGCATGGGGAAGTGTGGCTGCCCCCAGGAGGGTCAACAACGGCCAGCAACAGGGGCCAGGGCAGCTGCTTCAACACAGTGACAGCCCTGTCGGGCCAGCTGGAGGGAGCAGCAGTGAGGTCTGGAAAGGACACCTGTGTCCTGCCCGCTGTCCCCTCTTTGACCCTAGAAACCTGGTCATTGACCTCTCCCAAGGTCAAGGGCTCTGAGCAAGCAAGCGCCACACTCCACTGCCTCTTCTCTTGGTCCTTCCCAAAGTCCAGGGAACTGGGGCACAGTCCGTTGGATGCCTCCTTTCTCACTACAGGCACAGACACCCACATGCAGGGCTCACCTCACGAGTCCTGGGCCTCCAGGGATGTGGCCAGTCCCATCAGTCCCTCCAGACCTTGCCGTGCCTCCCTGCTCCCCGCTCAGTGTCCTGGTATGGTTGGTCCCTGCACCGTTTGCTGGTTAAAAACCTCAATCTGTCCATATTCCATGGCGTTTGGACAGCATCGTGGGAAGCCTGAAATACTGACAGTGAATGGCTGTGCCTGCCACTAGGGCTACTCTGTGTTTGAGCACGGGGTGGAGGGTGCTACAGGCAGAGTCACCTGAGGGGCAAGGACATGAGAATCAGGGTGCTCCCCGGAGCTGGGGCAGCCCTCAGGACCCCAGGGCCTGGCAGAGCAGGGGCTCCCTAGGTTGCTCGGACTCCAGATCCCGCATAGCCAACCCTGGGAGGGGAGCTTAGGGTTCTGCCTTTCTGTCCTCTTCCTCCTCCTCCTTACATGGCTTTTGTCAAGCAGCTTCCCCAGGGTTGTTGTTCTCATGGGCAGGGACCCCAGTGTAGGCTCAATGAGAACAGCTGTGTGACTCGGGGCAGCTCCCCACCACCACCCATCCTGCTCCTAACCTCCTGGTGTGCTAGGAACATCTGGGAGAAACAGGGATCAGTGGTTAAAAACACAAAACCAAGCTTGATGTGGTGCATGCCTATAATACTAGTACTCTAGGAGACTGAGGCAGGAGGATGTCAAGTTCTAGCCCAGCCTGGACCACTTAGACTTAGGGAAATCCTATCTCAAAATAAAAATGGGCTTGGGGGCCAGAGATTTAGCTCAGTAGTGCCACCACCTGCCTTGCAAGCACAAGGTCCTGAGTTTGATCCCTGGTACCAAAAAGCGGGGGGGCTTGGGATGTAGCTCAATTCAAAGGCTCTGTGTTCAATCCTCAGGACTGTGAAAAAAGAAAAGAGAAAAGAGCACAGACTGATCCAGGAGGTCAGGTTTGGACCCAGAGGGGCTATTCGGTTGCTCAGGTCACCTCCATTCCTGTGTCAGCCCCATCTGCTCAGTGGGGGACAACACAGGAGCTGTGAGGAACAAGCAACTTGATGGCGTCCAGAGCAGGGTCTCCTCGGACACTAACGCAGTGTCCTGTGACACTGAGCTGGTTTGTTCCCCTACAAACACGGCTACCCTCACTCGCTCGTTTGGGGCCCGTGCTGCTGGGGAGAAGCGGCCGAGGTGGGGACAATGAGGTGATCTAAGATTGAATTGCAGGTCTACCTGTTATAGTTACAGTACAGGACCCCTCTTCACCTGTAAAATGGAGATGGCAGTAGTACCTCCTGCACAGGTTGCTGCAGAGGTTAAGTGAAGTAACACACGCAAAGTATCAGTACCCAGGCACCCTGTAAGTGCTTGATTTGCATGAGCTTCCCTGATCATTTTAAACAGGCACACAAAGCCACGCATGCTGACCGCTGCTACCACTTCCTGTGTTACCATTTTCCGGGCACCTACTATGTGCTGGGCCTCAGGGAATTTCATACACATGCCTGAGCCTCTGCCCATAGCCACCCCAGCATGCTTCGAGGGAGCCTGCTGCCCTCCTTTGCCAGCTCCCTCCCCTGGGGTACGCACACTGCTTCCTACCCAGCTTGTCAGCACCCTCATGCTGCCCAGGACACAGGAGGTGCTCAGCATCTGTGGGCCCCACATTCAGCTGCCCCGCAGAGCTCACCACAGCCCACATGAGGAGGGGGGTACTTGTCTTCCCAGAGCTCTGCCACCACACACAAGCACCCTGGTCCCTGGAGCTGTCCCCTGGCCTGCACTGTTTCTAGGCCCATGGACTGCAATGCACCCAGGCATGGGGGCATCTACCTCACAAATACTGAGCCACCCACCCTCCTCTCTGGCCCTGTAGCTTCTCCTAACAAATCGGGACTTCACCAGATGAGGCCCGAGGTCCCCTGGAGGGAGAATCACCACACACTGCCCTCCTGCCCACCTCTAGGATCCACTGGATTGCTACTTCTCTGCTCTCGATCCTTCTCACCCCTAAACCACATCTTACGAGGCTCAGGAAACTTCCCTCTTGAAATCACAGGGACCAGATACCTTTCCTCCACTCCTCTAGCAACAGCACTGGGTTAGGGCGAGGAGATCTGGACATGAGCTCTCAGCAGCTCCAGGAGCAGCTTCTCCGGGTAGGGAGCAGCTGGCCCGGTGACAGGCAAGCAGAGGACAGAGTACCTACAAGTTTGCAGGGCAGGGTTGGCAATCTAGGACTCTGGGACCAAAGTTGCAGGCTGCCTGTCTTTGTAAATAAAGTTTTATTGGCACACAGCCACACCCATCATTAACAAATAATGCATAACTGCTTCTACACTCCAAAGACAAGAGTCCTCCAGAGGCTGGTGGCCAGCAGAGCCTGGAGTGTTTATGTCATGCGCTTTACGGGGAGGGGAACTTGCTGTAGAGTTCCCGGACAGAGGAAACCGGACTATGGGACATTCAAGGTCTCTTCCTTTCATTCCTATGCCAGGTACTCACTCCCCATTATGATGGCCCTAAAGGCACTTAGCCTAAAGGGTGCCGGAGCTCCTTTTTAAAGCGGTGCTTTGAGTCCACCTCAATAAAGCCAAGGTGTGCAGCCACCATGCAGACTCAGCACTCCGCTTCTGTCCCTCTTGCCCCTAGGGACTGGGGACGAGGAACAGAGATGATGCAGCAAACACTCACGCTGCAATCGATGGCCTTGCGCAGGTGGACACTAGCAGCTGCCGTGAGTGTGAAAAAGGGGGAGACCCCTCGGAGAAGTCCCCCCTCTTTACCGGGCACCGAGCATCATTGCTCCCTGTCAT